CCAAATTCATTTTATAAACAGTATAAAAAAAAAGAAAATACAGATAATTATCTTTCATGAAATTAGATGCAAAAATCCTCAAAAAATATTAGCCAGTTGAATCCAGGAATGTACAAAAAGAATTATACACTAGGACCTAGTGGAATTTAATCCATGAATGGAAGGCTGGGTCAACATTTGAAAGTCAATCAATTCATCATATCAACAAATGAAAGAGGAAAAATTGTAGAATTATGTCAATTGATGCAGAAAATCACCTGACAGAATTCAACATCCAATTATGATAAAAACTCTTAGCAAACTAGAAACAGAAAGGAATTTCCTTAAGTTGATAAAGTTCATCTACACAAGCCTACAACTAGCATCAGACTTCATGGTGAATGCCTTCCCTCAAGATCAGAAACAAAGCAAGGACTCTTCTTCAGTTTAACACTGGCAGTTCAAGCCACTATAGTAAGTCAAGAAGCAGGCATGCAAACTTTAAATGAAGGAATAAAACTATACTTTTTTACAGATGACATGATTGCATAGAAAATTTCAAGGAAATGACAAAAAACAAACCTCATAGAACCAGTAAATAAATTCAGCAACATTGTAGGATACAAGATTAAATACATAAATTAATTGCATTTCTATATACTAACAGTGAACATGTGGAAACTGAAATTAAGACATATGCCATTTACAATCACTCCCCCAAAAGAAAATTCTTAGGTACAGTTGTAACGAATTATTTATAATATCAGTATGCTGAAAATTATAAAATACTGATGAAAGAAATTAAAGACTAATTAATTAAAGGCATACCATGTTCATGGATTAGTAGACACATTATAGTAAAGATGTCATAGTAACAATACTTCTAATTATAGATATAATGCAATTCCTATCAAAATTCCAGCAAAGTTTTTTGAAACAGATAATCTTATAAAATTTATATGGAAAGGCACAGGCTCTAGAATAGCTAAATCCGTCTTGAAAAGGAAAAATAAAATGGGAGGAGCCATTCTGTCTGACATTAAATCCTCAAGAGAATGTGGTATTGATGGAGCAATAGACACTTAGGTCAGTGGAACAGGATAGAAAACCAAGAAATAAACTCACACAAATATGGCCAACTGATTATTTTCTACAATGGTGCAAAAGAAATTCAATGGAAGGATAACCTTTCAACAAATGATATTGGAGCAACTGGACATTCATAGGCAAAACCATGAACCTCAACTTAAACTTTATACAGAAATTCACTCCAAATGGATCAAGAGACTTAAATCTTCATCACAATTAAAAATTTTTTGATTTGCAAAAGACCCTGTTAAGAGGATGAAAAGACAGGCTACAAACTAGGAGAAAATATTTGCAAACCACATATCCAACAAGACTAATATCTAGAGCATAAAAAGAACTCCCAAAACTCAACAGTTAACCAAACAATCCAATTAGAAAATGGGCAGATATGTGAGCAGTCACTTCAGCAAATACAGATGGCAACTAAACTCATGAAAAGCATCAGCATCCTGAGCCATTAGGAACGTGTGATCTAAACACACGATGAAATATCACAATGAAATATAAAAAATAAAAATATGGTGGCAACACGAAGTGCTGGTGAGCATGTGGAGAAACTGGATCATTTATATATTACTGCTGGGAATGTAAAATGGTACAGCTACTTTGGAAAACAATTTGATGGTTTCTTTTTTTTATTTTTATTTTTTATTAAGGTATTATTGATATACACTCTTATGAAGGTTTCACATGAAAAAACAATGTGGTTACTACATTTGCCTATATTATCAAGTCCCCACCCATACCCCAATGCAGTCACTGTCCATCAGTGTAGTAAGATGCCACAGATTCACTATTTGCCTTCTCTGTGCTACACTGTTTTCCCCGTGATCCCCCACACCATGTGTACTAAACATAATACCCCTTCCTCCCCACACACCTTCCCCCACCCCTCCCCTTTGGTAACCACTAGTTCCCTCTCAGAGTCTCTGAGTCTGCTGCTATTTTGTTCCTTCAGTTTTGCTTTACTGTTATACTCCACAAATGAGGGAAATCATTTGGCACTTGTCTTTCTCTGCCTGGCTTATTTCACTGAGCATGATATCCTCCAGCTCCATCCATGTTGTTGCAAATGGTAGGATTTGTTTCTTTGTTATGGCTGAATAGTATTCCCTTGTGTATATGTACCACTTCTTATTCATCCATTCATCTACTGATGGACATTTAGGTTGCTTCCGTATCTTGGCTATTGTAAATAGTGCTGCAATAAACATAGGGGTACATATGTCTTTTTGAATCTGAGAAGTTGTATTCTTTGGGTAAATTCCTAGGAGTGGGATTCCCGGGTCAAATGGTATTTCTATTTTTAGTTTTTTGAGGAACCTCCATACTGCTTTCCACAATGGTTGAACTAGCTTACGTTCCCACCAGCAGTGTAAGAGGGTTCCCCTTTCTCCACATCCTCGCCAGCATTTGTTGTTCTTAGTCTTTTGCCATCCTTACTGGTGTGAGGTGGTATCTCATTGTGGTTTTAATTTGCATTTCCATGATGATTAGTGATGTGGAGCATCTTTTCATGTGTCTGTTGGCCATCTGAATTTCTTCTTTGGAGAACTGTCTCTTCATATCCTCTGCCCATTTGTTAATTGGGTTATTTGCTTTTTGGGTGTTGAGGCATCTGAGTTCTTTATATATTTTAGATGTTAACCCCTTATCGGATATGTCATTTACAAATATATTCTCCCATACTGTAGGATGCCTTTTTGTTCTGTTGATAGTGTCCTTTGCTGTACAGAAACTTTTTAGTTAGATGTAGTCCCATGAGTTCATTTTTGCTTTTGTTTCCCTTGCTCAAGGAGATGTGTTCAGGAAGAAGTTGCTCATGCTTATATGCAGGAGATTTTTGCCTATGTTGTCTTCTAAGAGTTTTATGGTTTCATGACTTACATTCAGGTCTTTGATCCATTTCAAGTTTATTTTTTGTGTATGGGGTTAAACAATAATCCAGTTTCATTCTCTTGCATGTAGCTGTCCAGTTTTGCCAACACCAGCTGTTGAAGAGGCTGTCATTTCCCCATTTGTTGGTTTCTTATAAAACTAATCATGCAACTACCATATGACCTACCAATTGCATTCTTAGGCATTTATCCTAGAGATAGGAAAATGTATTTTCAGACAAAAGCCTATACACAGTGTTCACAGCAGCTTTCTTTGTAATAGCCAAAATCTGGAAACAACCCAGATGTCCTTTAACAGTAGTAAATAAACTATGATACATCTATACTATGGATGATATCAAGAATAAAAAGGAACACATTATTACATGCAACAACTTGGATAAATCTCCAGGATTTATGCCAGGTGAAAAAAAAAGCTAATTCTAAAAGGTTATATCCTGTAAGATTCCATTTACATAGCATTCTTAAAATGTCAAAACTATAGAAATAGAGAACAGATTAGTGATTGTGGGGGGCAGGTTATGGTAATAAAAAGTCAAGAGGGTTCTTATGGTGATAGAAATGCTCTGTGTCTTGCCTATACCATTGTCACTATCCTGGATGTGATAATGTAAATAATGTTTTTTGTTGCTTTAGGGGAAACTGGTAAGGGTTCTCTGTATTAGTTCTTACAACTGAATGTGAATCTACAATGATTTCAAACTTAAAGTTGAACTATAAAAAGTGGCAATCACTTGGAAAATGGTTAGGCAGTTTCTAATAAAGTTATTATCCTATGATCTAACCATTCTACTCCTGTGTAAATATCCAGGAGTAGTGAGTGCATTTGTCTACAAAAAGATTTGTACAAGGATGTTCATAGTAGGTTTATTTATAATAGCTGAAATTTGAAACAATCTAAATGTCCATATACAGGAGAATGACTAAACAAATTCTGGTATATTCATACAATGTAATACTTCTTACCAAAAAAGCCCCCCAAAAACTACTCATATACACAAAATATGGATGAATCTCAAAAACATTATGTTAAGCAAAGGGGATCAGATACAAAAGGATACATAGTATATGATTACATTTGTATTAAATTCAAGAACAGGCACTCATTGATGGTGATAAAAGGCAGAATACTGCCACTGGTGTTAGAGGATGGTATCAACCGGAAAGGATCTTGGGGAACTTTCTGGAGTGAAGAAAATGTGGTTACATAGGAATATATATAATATTAAAAGTTATGGAGCTCTACACTTAAGGTTTATACATTTTATTATATGTTAATTTTACATTATTTGAGTACTGTAAAAAAAATTCCATATCAACCAATCCCTACCAACTGTAGAAATTTTATCTGGATCCTCCTTCAGACAAATTGTAGAAAAATCTATTTTGACATGAGAAATTTAAAGTCTGAACAGTTTATAATTATTGATGACATTAAGGAGTTATTGTGAAGTTTATAAGTGTAAAATTATTATTATGTTAGAGTTCTCATTTAGCGAGAGAGACATTGAAAGAGGTGATCTATCTAGGGTTTGCTTCACGTAAAATACATGAGGAGTGGTAAGATAAAAGTGAAACAAGACTAGTCATGTGTTGATTGTTGTTTAACCTTTGTGATTGGATGGCTTATTATCTACTTCTGACTCCATGGTTAAAAGTTAAAATTTGTAAATATGAATAAAAGATGCACACAGGTAACATTATTACAAATAAAACACGAAAAGTGGTCACTGAGATAGAGTGCTCTAAGGATTCTCAAGGAGTGGTAGGGAAAGTGAATGCCCTAGGAATCATTGCTCGTCTACAACCGGTGTCTTCAGCAGGCAATGGGGATTCCCAAGGGTAGAAAACTGCCCTGTGCTTAGTGAAACCCAAGTGTATAGGCAACTTATGTGTGAGTTCTTTCCAACCAACCATATGTGTTTATGAGGATATTAGCATGTAAGATACATTATATAAATTGGTCATCCACTGTAATAAATTGAGGCATGGGGTTCACTTTTCAACTTCTATGTGTTCTTTTGTTTTTTGAAGGACCTGATGTTATTTTGTGAAGATCCAAAGCTGCTTCTGCCGACAACTCCTCCTCCCATCATCTCATCAGCTACGTGGCTGTCAGGAGGGCAGGCAGATGTGTGTAACCTCTGTGATGCAGGTAGACTGGCTAAGACATAGAAACTTTACTAAGAAATATGAGTATGGAACTGGGCTGGACATATTTTCCTCAGATTTTATTTTATGATCTATAGCAACAATGATTCTAATTTAACTTTGATAATGAGAGACAAGACTAGTGTGGATAAATTCAACCCACACATGATCCTATCATCTTATTTTACCATTTTTCAATGATTTTTCTCTTATTTTGCTTCCTTCCCCATTGTTTTTAGTTCAAGAAATATTAACTACAAACATTAAATCTTTTACAAATGGTTTGAAAAATCAGAAAAATTAGTTTTAGTTTCTTTTCTTATTTGTATTAACTTCTTTTTGACAGAGTTTAAATTATGACGTTTTTCGGAAGCAAGCATTAGGTGAAAATGTGAAAAAGCAAGATGCATCGTATCCCAAAAGCTGGCTCATCGCCTCTTGAATAATTAACATTAGAGAAAGGCACACAATAAAATTCTACAAAACTGGCCTCCAGTTAATAATAAATTACACTATCAAATTCCAACTGGGCCCTACTGCTACTCAGGATCTGATTGATTCACTGTTGAGCCACTTCATCCTGTCCCTATTCTCCATAAACTCTCAATTTCAATACATTGTTCCCCTTGATTGTCTCAAAAAAATAGGATAAAAGATCTTTTGCCAAGATGAGAATGAAATGTTCTCATTAGTATCTTTCATCCCCTTAAATCTTAGCTTTTATATTCATCCAGGCATCCTTTCCCTTAATTACAGAGGGAGCTCCTTGCATTCTGAGTTACATCTTCTTCATCTTTGAGTCATGCACCTCAACTTCACCCTTATATAGATCCCCAATATCCAAAATATAAAAACTATAGTTTGTTAGTAAAGATTTATTTTACAAGTGCACATTTATGTAGTTTTCATTTAAAACCAATTGTGAGAATGATGAGGAAATTTTAATAGACACAAAATAAGAATTCATGGGTTATGGATATTTGCAGTGTAAGGATGGCATTATTTATGTGGATAGTTAGTTCTAAGTGGTTACAATTTTTTAGACAGCTTGCTTTGTATTCTTAGAAAAAACTTTATGTCAGTTGATCCAGATCCATAAGCTTGAAAGAACAGGAAGGAAAACATTTTTGTCTTCTAATATTGGCTACCTTCCCTCCCCAACATTTTTTTTAAGCAGCTATTTTTAGAGCACTTTTAGGTTCACAGCAAAACTGAGTGGAAGGTACAGAGATTTCCCCATACACCCTCTTCCCCCAAACGAGTACGACTTCCCTCACCATCAACACCCCCAACCAGAGTGCTGCATTTATTGCAATCAGTGAACCTGCATTAACACGTGATTATTGCTGAAAGACCATAGTTGACATTAGGGCTCCCTCCTGGTGTTGTATATTTTATGGGTTTGGACAAATGTGTAATGACAAGTATCTATCATTATACTCTCATACAGAGTATTTCACCGCCCTAAAAATCTTCTGTACTGTGCCCGTTCATTCCTCCCTCCGCCCAACCCCTGGCAACCACTGATATTTTAACCGTCTCCATAGTTCCGCTTCTTCCAGAATGTCATACAGGCGGAATCATACAGTATGTAGTCTTTTCAGACTGGCTTCTTTCATTTAGTAAAGTGCATTTAAGGTTCCTCCACATCTTTTCATGGCTTGATAGCCCATTTCTTTTTAGTGCTACATAGGATATACTAAAGGTATTTATCCATTCACCCACTGAAAAACATCTTGGTTGTGTCCAAGTTTTGGCAGTTATAAACAAAGCTGCTGTAAATATGTGTGCTGTTTTTATGTGGACATAAGTTTCCCCCTGACAACATTTTAATACAAGTGAAACTGAGTATAAATGAGCATCAGAGGCAACCCTTAACAGGAAAAATAAATCACAGAATGTGTGATATCTTTTTAATCTCAGAGATATCTTGCTAAAATACAGATCTTAGCATTTCATTTCCCAGCTTAAAAACTTTCAACAGTTTTCCACTGCCAGAAGGATGTCTAATTTTTTTTATTCTGTCATATAAGACTTCATGGTCTGGTTCCAGCCAATCTTTTTGTCCTCACCACCCAGTACTGGCAATATTCACAGTGCTCTCTGACATTCTCTTACTTGTCTGGTTTCTTCTCCTTAGATTGTCTTTGTTCAGGTTACTTCAGCTGTGTAACACATTGCTCTAAAACTTTGTGACATAAAATGACCCTTTATTCTGCACATGGATTCTCTGGGTCAGGAATTAGGACAGAGCACAGTGGGATGACTTCTCTCTGCTCCATGACGTATGTTTGGCCCTCAGCCCAAGAATGCAAAGGCTGGGACAGGAATCATCTGAAGGCTCATCCACTCGTGTCTCTGGTAGTTGATGCTCGCTATCAGCTGGGGGCCTCAGTTTCTCTCCGCATGAGTCTCTCCATTTGGTGGGCTAGTTTGGGCTTCCTCAGAGCATGGTGGCTGGGTTCCAAGGGTGAGCATCCTGTGAAAGAAAGGACCAGGAAGAAACTGAATAATCTGGAAAGCCATGCTGTGGTACTTCCTCTCCATTCAGTCATCAAGGCAATCACGCAGCCTTGCCCAAGTCCAGGGGGAGGGGATGTGGACTTCCACCTCTCTGTGAACATGTGTCAATGTTAAATTAAAAGAAAAGCATATGAGAATAGGATGGGTGTTAGTACAGTCATCTTTGGAAAATACAGTCTGCCACAGTCCTCCACCAAATTATAAATGCTTGACAAAATCCTCTTCAAACAACAGGACTCTGCTCAAATGTCACCACTGCTATTCAATCATTCTACACACTCATTTCCCCTTTCACTGTGTTCCCACAGGCCTTTGCCCACACTCCTAGTATAAAATTTATAGCTTTGTATCATAACTGTTTTATTTGTTTTTTAATTATATAACTAATAAGTAAATATGCTCTAATTTTTAAAAATTAAAACAATATAGGTAGAGTTAAATGCCCCCTTGACTTTCCTTTACCCCCACACAGTCCCCTCCCCGGAAGTAACTGTTATCAATGTGTCGGTTACTCTCCAGACCTTTCTCTGTGCATTTACTCATGTATATATACCTTTAGAATTATGTAGAATTGACTTTATTTTGTTTTGGAACATTATTCTGTATTTTTCTGAAACTCTTTTGTAACTATCACTTGGCAATCCTTCACAGATGTCAGTATTTAGAGATTACCCTTTTTTTTTAACTCTACACTGCCTGGATATTATAGATTATTTCCCTGCTGATAGGTACGTTGGTATTTTATACTTTTCACTGTTCCAAAATAATGCTTCATGGAATAGCTTTGTGCACATAAGTGAGTGTTTCTTGAGCGCGGATTCCTAGAAATGGAGTCCCTGGGTCATGGGGTTTGCCCATTTTCATTTTAATTAATATAGCCAAATAGACCCTCAAAATATCAATTCCAATTACACTGAATGCAATATATAAGACTACCTAGTCATTCACACCCTCACCAGCACTTGATATTTTTCAAGTCTTATCTTTTTACCACATGGGTAAAGTTTGCATGGCACAGTACATGTAATTTGCATATTTCCTTGTATTAGTTGGATATTTCTATTTCCTGTTCTGTGGACTGCCTGCTAATATCCTTACTCTGGTTTCCTTTTGGATTGTGTTGTTCATCTAAGTTGATTCTGTAGCATTTTTGCATGTGTTTTACTAATCCTTTCTACTATTTATGTTGCAAGTATCATCTTCCAGGCTGTGAATGGTCTTCCAACTTTAGAGGAGTTTTTTGTTTTGTGTAGTCAAATGTATTCCTCTTTTCCTTCAGAGCTTTTGTTTTTTGATTTTAAGGTTTTTCTCTATACTCAGTTCATAGTACATATTCATCCACTTTTTATTTTAATTGTTTTAGTTATTTAATCAATCTGGATTTAAAGTATTTATGGATGGTTTTAGATAGGGTCAGTGGGTAGCCAGTTGTCTTAACATTTATTGACTGGTTCACTTCTCTGTACTGTTTTCAAATGACTCTTTAACCTGCACTAAGTAGTGTTTGTTTAACAACTCTATTCTGTTCCACTGATCAGTTCTATTCCTGGCCTGTTTAGTTTTTGTAACTGTTATAACAGGACATAGTATGAGTGTATCCCATTTTATTTAACCAGTGCAATATTAATGGGCTATTTCCGTATTTTTGCTGTTTAAATGATGATGAAATATCTTTTGCCTTTCTCAAGTAGGCTTTTAATTTATATTTTTCATAATTTGATGCAGATACTAAAATACATTATTCTGAAGTTCTGTTGATAAATTCTGTCCAGTTCATTAAGTTATCCTATCAACAGATGGTTATTTCCATGTTATGATTTTGGCAACTTTAGTCCAAGACAAAAATAAAGGAGGAAAGCCATTGCGGATGTAGTGTCCTCAGTGGGTCTCCTCTCCCTTTCTGTAGGTACCCGGTGTCCCACTGGCCCTATCCAGGTTTATAGTACCCACCCGCACCCACTGCAGTGCCCCATCTGGCCTTATTGATCCCAGCCCTTTCCTTCCCTCTCTGGACACCCTCTTGAATTTTGTGCTCATCATGCCTTGTTTTTCTCTACACTTTTACTACATATGTTTATACTCTAAACAATATATTTATTTTAACAAGCTTTTAAATCTTACCTTAATGGAGTCATCTGTGACTTAACTTTTATCACTCAATAATACTTTCTTAAGGTGCATCCATAAGTTTATATGGTTATCATTTGTTTTCATGGTTGTATAGTATTTCATTACATGCATATATTCAAATATCTTTATTCTACTCTAGAATACTATTATCAATACTGTGTATCAAGTTTTTATATTGCAAACAGTGCTGTTTATGAACATACCTGTACAAGCCTTCTGGTTTTCATGGACAAGAGTTTCTCTAGAGTATATATTTGGGAGTGAAATTGCTGATGCTTCAGTAGAGTAGGAGAATCCTCAAATTTACTAGATAATGCCACGCTGTTTTCCAAAGTTCTAATTGCTCTGTGT